AACGGTTAGATCGTGATAAGTTGTCCCAACCAGCACGTATAACTGTCTTTCGGAACACGCTAGCTGAAAGGCTAGAATCGACCCCACCCAGTGACGTTAATCATCACTGGTCGCTTATCTAGAATGCTATGCATTCTGCTGGTTTGGTTAGTTGTGTTCTGACACGTCTCGCCGTGATACCCTAGATCTCTGCGGAATCTCTACGCCTTCTCGACGCACGCCGATGAATTCCGACCACCAGCGAGCATAATGAAATACGACGAGCAACGGGTCGTAACCTGAATGTAAGTCTACGCAGAGACCGCGACATCTAGTGGACTCAAGGAGCTTCAGAGATGGAACGTCCCGCCGCCACGGGGGATTCCCATAAGCTGTTTTATCTCATCCGGATCACCACTAGGAAAGCCTTAGGTGTGAGCGAAACGATCTGCAAAACTGACGGTTCGCCCATTCACAATCAACAGGAATGTTTTGCACGCTAGGAGCAGCTTAGCTGGCCACCAGCGTCAGCTCCTCTTACAGCTATTCCGGCACACGTCCCATGGTTTGTCCCAACAGACCCACCTGCTGAGGCGGAAATCCGAAAGGAGGTCCATGCGCCGGGGGCCGATGGCCTTTCCCCTGCTCTATTCGAAGATGATAGAGTAAAGCTTGTCAGAGAATTACAAATTCTGTTCTCCAAAGTGTGGAATACTGAGCAAGTCCCCTCCTTGTGGGGGGAATCGATTGTTGTTCACATCTTCAAAAAGATTTCGCGCATTGACTGCGCCAATCATGGGGGTATAAGCCTTATCCCGATAGCGTCAAAGCTGTGAGCGTCCGTTTTTCTCCGCCGATTGTACACTACGTGTAAGGAACAGTCCCGCGAGGAGCAGGCTGGGTTTCGTGCCGGTTGTGGAGGCATCTATCAAAGCTTCACCCTCCGATAGCTGCATTCGACTCCGTCGATAGGACCGCACTATGGAATTGTTTGTTGAGGAATGGAGTACCTGAGAAGTATGTATCGATCCTCAAAGAGTTGTATCGTCATACCACAGGTCAGGTTAGGGCCTATGGGTAACCTTCGCCACCCTTCGCGGTCTCCAGTGGAGTTCAACAAGGATGCTCTACATCCGAATTCCTTTTCAACTTTGTCAAAGAGGATGTTCTGCAGGGCGCTCTGTCCAGTCTAGCAGGCGGGGGAGTCGAACTCCTCCCAGGGAACAGA